ATGTCCACATTGATTTTTTTCTTCTGCCTCCTTTTTTCCCTCCTCTCCTCTTTTGACCTCACCCTCCCCCCCCCCCCACTCAAAAGCGGGCAATACGCTTGACCTCATTTTCACAAAGCTCTCCTCTACAAACCACTGCAACCCCCCTCCTTCCTCCGACCACTACTTTTTTTCCTTTTCTCTTCACTCTCCTCCCCCTACCACTCGCCCCTACACAGATGGAAATGCCCCGCCGAACCTCCCCTCTCTCTCCCCCACTACTCTCTCCTTTTCCTCCTATCATCCTTTCCCTTTTTCTCAATCCTTCCCCCTCCAATCTCCTGATTCTCCTCCTAAACCCTCCTCTCCCCCCTTTCTGCATCCTTGACTCTTGTGCCCCCTATCCCCCCGGCCCGGCTCGTCCTCCCCCCTCCAGCTCCGTGGCTTTTATGCTCTTGCGGGTCACAGAAAAGAGCTCCGGGAGCGGAGCGGAAAGGAAAAAACTAAACTCCCTGCCGACCTGCTCTTTTTACTCCCCCTCTCTACTTTTCTTCACTTTTTTTGCTCTAAAGGGCCCCCCTTCTACCCTCTAAATTCCCAACATCTGCCTCAACCCTAGGAAACTCTTTGCCACATTTTCCTCCTCCGAAACCCCCCCCCCCCCCCCCTCTCCTGTGGAGACTTCTCAACCACTTTGAAAAAAGGTTGACGACTCCATCCTCGTTTGTTAAATCTAAGACACTGCTGGTCCTCTCACCGGGCCCCAAACCCCAGCTTTGCTTCTTTTTTTCCCCCCTCTCTCCAATAAATCCTCACTTTTGCTACAGGCCCCCACAACCTGCCCCCCGCTTGAAACCCCCCTCCCCTCCCCTTTTCCCGACCTCTCCGGGGACCTTCTCCCCCACCTCACCTCGGATCAACCATCCCTTTACCGCTGGCCCTGTCCCTTCCTCTTAAGAGGCGAGAGTTACTACTCCCCTTCCTCAAAAAACCAACCCTCGCCCCACTGATTCAACAACTAAGACCGTATCCCTTCTTTCTTTTCTTTCCAAAACTATGAGCGTGCCGTCTTTAGCCAAATCTTTGCTATCTCCTCAAAATGCCTTCTTGTCCAAACCAAACAGGTTTTCAGCTGGTCTTCAACTAAAATGCTCTTTTTCTGTGTCACGGAGACTTTTCCCCCCCCCCTCTAAACCCAACTCTCCTCCTCTGCCTTGTCCTTCTAGACTTCTGCTGCCTTTTATCTGTAACCTCAGATCCTCCTCTCCACCCTCTCCGAATGGGCATCTCCCCGCGGGACTCCTATTTTCGTCCTACCGCCGGGTTTGCTCCCCCAAGTGGCTGCGGGGCTGTTCCGCACCACTTTTCTCTCACCACTGGTGTCCCCAGGGATCGTTCTGGGCCCCCTCCTTTTCTCCCTTAACACCCCAAAATCACTTTGGGTCTGTCTATCCTCACATGGGCCTTTCCTACATTTCTACGCTGACGATAAAACAACTAATCTTCCCCCTTTCCCCCCCTTCTTAACCGTGGCGAAACCATCTCTGCTTCGGCAGACTATCAGTTTTGGATGACGATCACCACCTCAACGAACCCGGCAGACGAGCTGCTCTTCCCCCCGGGGAAGGACTGCCCTTCCATGTCTCGCCCTCACGGTTTACAAATCCGAGTGTCCCCCCCCCCCAATGCGAAAGCCCAGGGGGGCCCCCGGGCACACCCCGTGTTCTCCGCCAAAATCAAAGGGGGTGACCCCCTCCTCGGGTTTATGCCTACAACATTCGGAGATGCACCCTGCCTTACACGAACGGGGCAGGTCCCCGGGCCCGGCACTTTCATCCCCTCTGGACTACTGCCTCGCTGTTGGCTGGCCCCCCGCCTGGCCATTAAAACCCCCAACAACTCCTCCAAAACCGCACCCGTCTGGGTTTGTTCAACCTTTTCCCCAAATTCTCTCACGTCACCCCCCCCCCCCCCCCACCCCCCCCCCCCCCAAAACCCCCCCCCTTTTTTAAAAAACCCCCCCCCCCCCCCCACCCCCCCCCCCCCCCAAAAAACCCCCCCCCCCCCCCCCCCCCCCCCCACCCCCCAAAAAACCCCCCACCCCAAAACACCCCCCCCCCCCAAACCCCGGACACTCACCCCCTTCCGGGCATTTAAAACCCCCCCTCTTTAAGGTAGGGAAATGTATTCTTTTAACCCCCCCCCCCCCCCCAAAATTTGGGTAAATTTGGTTATCCCACTGGCTATAGGGTGAACGCACCAATTTGGTGAGTCGCTCTGGCTAAGAAGCGTCTGCTAAATGACGTTAATGTCCCTTGAGCAAGGCACTTAACCCTAATTGCTCCTGTAAGTCGCTCTGGTTAAGAGCGTCTGCTAAATGACAAAAATGAAAATGTAAATGTATATTTTAATAGAAATAAAACCGCTTTTTGGTTTCAAATGGCCCACTAAAAGGAGGGCTCCCCACCTCCTAATTCACAATTCCTGCGTGGCGCTAGATTTTTATTTTTCGCACGCTACAGACGGTTATATCGAACCATTAATACATGACTGTTAAAGGCCCAGTGCACTAGCTTAGCTTGGCTAAGTAGTGAAAAAATATAAGTGACAACGTCCCGTATATTTTCTGGATGCCCTGGAGTCATCGGGGGGCATTTTGAAGTTGTGTGTCTCCATGTACGGGTAGAAGGAGCCATTATGGCACGGGGGTCATTCGAATGCTCCAGCCCCAAGGCGTCCCAACCCTCATGAAACCGCCACCAAAAAAGGTCATTACCTGGAGAAAAACATTGCACTGGACCATATGAACAAGTAGGGGGGATACTGTACTCTTCATTCAAATAGCAGAGTCCAAAATGTATCAGTGAAACCATGCTGCAAAGGGTTTTTACCACTTGAATTAGACTAATTTTTTTTTTGTTGTTTTTTTTATCTGTGAGAGTGTAAAGTGTGTAAGCAAATGTCAGCGTCACAGAGATACTGTGGAAATGTGTTCGTTGACATCTCCCCTTGTAAATAGATCCGAATGCTAATTTAAAACGCTTAAAAATATCTCAACCTTCACCGTGATAATTTGACTATTTGAACCCAATTATTCTACATAATTGTCCTTTTATTTCATTGGGGAATCGCGTTGAGATTGACGTTCTGGACAGCGTAATACCCCTGTTGTACCTGTGCTGTCTTGAGCTTCAATAGAGTGCAGAGTAAAATAAACTCCTATTGTTACCTCCCCTTCAAACCAAGGCACTTGAACAGTGAAAAAAGAAGATGAAAAGGTATTCAGCATCTCTTGGTAGCACAATGGACGTTTGCTTGAAATAAAGGATGCATTGGTTTTAAGAACAACATACAGATTTTTCAAGCAACGTGCATTGGGCTACCAAGAATAGCTGAATGTCTTTTCATCTTCAGCTTCATGCACTGATTCCTTACGGACCTATGCTGTCTGCTTTGCTCTTATGTTATGTCATCCTTCCATTCCCATGCCTTAATATTTGATGTAGGCCTACTTCTTCATTCAATCATTGAGAGTCAATCGTACTTCCTATGTATTTTTGCAGCATGGTTTCACTGATCATTTGGGACACTGCTCTTTTGATGATGAGCCTAGAGTATCCCCCTTACTTGTTAATATGGTCCAGTGTGATGACACACACACACACACACACACTTGGCCTTTTTCCTGCTGCTCACTCAGCACTCTAGGTCTTTCAGCTGATCAAGAGGTCACTGGTATCAACTATTGATCATTGATCACTGAATCGTTCAGCATGACCATCAGCCAATGAAGAGGTTTTCTTCATCCTGATATTCACTATACTTTGTAGCTTTGAGTAGGCCAACACTTGTTAACCAATACCTGAACAAAATATAAACGCACATGCAACAATTTCACTGAGTTACAGTTCATATATGGAAATCATTCAATTGAATGAATAAAACCCAGCTGATGGTTAATTAACCCACGTTTGAGTAATCCCAACAATCCAACAGGTGGGTTATTCATGCAACCCAACTGAGTGGCGCAGTGGTCTAAGGCACTGCATCGCATGCTAACTGTGCCACTAGAGATCCTGTTCGAATCCAGGCTCCTGTCGAGCCGGCCGCGACCGGGAGACTCTGGCGGCGCACATTGGCCGAGCGTCGTCCAGGGTAGGGAGGGAATGGCCGGCAGGATGTAGCTCAGTTTGGTAGAGCATGGCGTTTGCAATCCAGGGTTGTGGGTTCGATTCCCACGGGGGGCCAGTATAAAAACAATATGTATTCACTAACTGTGGATAAGAGCGTCTGCTAAATGACTAAAATGTAAATGAAATAAACTCATTAGGCCCTTTATCTATGGATTTCACATGACTGGGAACACCGGTATGCATCTGTGGTCAAATATACCTTAAAAAGAAGGTAGGGCGTGGATCAGAAAACCACCTGTATCTGTGACCACAATTGACCGTATTGCCATTTCTCTAAAACGATGTTGGAGGCAACTTATGGTAGAGAATTAACATTAACTTCTCTGGCAACAGCTCTGGTGGACATCCTGCAGTCAGCATGCCAATTGCATGCTCTCTCAAAACTTGAGACATGTGGCATTGTGACAAAACTGCACATTTTAGAGTGGCCTTTAAGTGTCCCCAGCAACAAGGTGCACCTGTGTATTCCATCATGCTGTTTAATCAGCTCTTGATATGCCACATCTGTAAGGTGGATGGATAATCTTGGCAATGAAAATTCTCACTAACAGGATGTAAACACATCTGTGCACAATTTGAGAGAATCGTTTTTTGTGCTTATGGAAAATGTCTGGGATCTATATTTCAGCACATGAAACATGGGACCCAACACTTTACATGTTGCGTTTATATTTTTGTTCAGTGTGTGTATATAGAATCAGGAGCACTTTGAAAAAAGCGCTACGGTGGCATAAACCAGTTTGTAAACCCATTCAACATTTAATAATCCATTCAAACCTGATGGTTCAACCTACAACCGAACAAGCCAAAGTATCAGTATTACTTACCGTCATGATTAGCGTTGCCTAGTGTCCAGGGCTCGTCCGAATCAAAGTGATGTCCCCTCCGATCCCAGGCCCGGGAATAGGCGTGGGCCAGGAACCCCCCCTCCCCGTCAAAGGGCGAGCTATCACCATGAAACCAGAGGCGAAAAGATCATGATGTCGGCCTCCTTCCCCTCGTTCTTGATCTCGGAGTAGGCCACCTCCTGGAAAGTGAGTGGGGTCACCGTCTGCCACACGTCAAAGGCCTGCCGTATGGCTCTCTGCGTGTCCTTCTCCCCCACTTTAGGGTAAAGTTGTGTATGCTACAGTAAAGAAGAATGGGAAAAGGGAAGTATGGTAATACAGGAGTAATGGAGTACTGTAGCAGTATGGTAGTAGGAAAAAGAGAAGAAGAGTAAGTGCCATGGGTTATTTGTAACCCAGCGCTAGGTAATATTGGACAAACACACGCTGGGTTATTTGACACAGCCAGTTGGGTTGCATGAATAACCCACCTTGTTGGATGTTGGATTACTCAAACGTGGGTTAATTTAACCATCACTGGGTTTTTTATCACTTTCATGCTGGATTGACCCAGCAGCTGAAAGCTGTAATGCAGACGCAATTAGGGGCATTTTCTGATATCTGGCGTTTCTTGATAAAGTTACACCTATGATTTTTTTTATTGATTTTATTTTTTTGGGGGGGATGTTACACTATTGATGTTTGTCATTGGTTGGTGGCCGTTTCGATCATGTCGGCACAACTGTAGCATTGTAGCTAGCCCTTTTCCTAACCTTAACCTCAGTCTCCTAACTGCCACGCTAATTCACCTAACCTGCCACGTTAAACCTAACCGTCACTTTATTTCAAAACCCTATGTAAAAAAAATCATCGTTTTGAAACCCCGCTCAAAAACCCCGGAACTGACCAGGGCAGGTAAAAATTTTTCAGGGATTTTAAAGTATTGATTGGGGACTATTGGGGGGAATGCAACTAATTCGGGGTGATTTGTAATGTTTTTTTGTGCTTCCCATTAATGTGTTTTAAGTCACACCGTAAAAATTTTGTCACCTACTCTTCCAGGTTTTTCTTTTTTTTACTTTTTTGAACTTGTGAATAATATGAAGCTCAAAACATAAATAAACATAGGGAAAATCAGGTAGAAACAAAAAGTATTAAAAAAAAAAAAATAACTGTTCTTCAATAGCCCCCCTTTTGCCCTGACGACAGCCTGCCACTTTTGGGCATTCTCTAAACCAATTCCCCAAAATGTTTTTTCCCAACTCTTAAAGGGGTTCCTACAATCTGGGGGATTTGTTTGGCTGCTTTTCCTTCCTCGTCTCCGACTCCCCAAAACCATCTAAAGGGGGTTAGGTCGGGGGATTGTGGAGGCCGGGTCACTGTCGCCTCATCACTCTCTTTTCTTTGAAAAATCCCCTTACACAGCCTGGGGTGTTGGGTCATTGGTCCTTTTGAAAAAAAAATGACATGCCACTAAACCAAAAACCAGATGGATGGCTACGCTGCAAAATGCTGCAGTAGCCAGCGGGAAAAGTTGCCTTAATTCAAAAAAAAACCCTCACCACAAAACACACCAAACCCCCCCCTCTTACGGTGGGAAAACCATTGGAATTCCTTAACCCAAATTTTTCCCTTTGGCAACCAAAAAAAAAATTTCCATTTAATCAATTTTTTTCCCTTTTTTCCCAAACAGGTCTTTCTTATTATTGGTTCCTTGTATTGGTTTCTTTGCACAAATTTAACCAAAACCTTTCATCCCCCTTAATATTTTGTTTGTTTGTTCTTATTTTTGGGGCATTTTTTGGCTGCAATTTTGTTTCTAAAAGGGCTTTTCCTGGGGACAGAGGCCGGGTCTTTTTTCCCGGGGGTTTAAAAGCCCTTTTTAAAAGCGCTTATGGTTTTTTTTTATTTTGAAGAAATTAAAGTTTTAATTTTTTTTTTTTAATTTTTTGGTTTTGGGATTTCCCCAAGCTTTCAACCCCTCCCAAAATTTATTGGTTGAGGGTTTTCCTTTCCTGCCCCTCCAATAAGGGTAACCGGTCTGTCTTCGCCAAGACCTCCACAAGTTGGATTGGCTTGATGGGCACTTGTACCATATGGTCAAGTGCTCCCTCCAGAGCTCAATAGGGTTGAGATCCGGGGACTGTGCTGGCCCCCTCCATTATAGAAAGAATAACAGCTGACTGCTTCTTCCCTAAATAGTTATTGCATAGTTTTGGAGCTGTGCTTGGGTCATTTATCCTGTTGTAGGAGGAAATTGACTCCAATCAAGCGCCGTCCAAAGGGTTATGGCATGGCGTTGCAAAATGGAGTGATGCCTTCTTCTTCAAGATCCCTTTTACCCTGTACAAATCTCCCACTTTACCACCACCAAGCACCCCCCAGACCATCACATTGCCTCCACCATGCTTGACAGCTGGCATCAAGCACTCCTCCAGCATCTTTTCATTTGGTCTGCGTCTCACAAATGTTCTTCTTGTGATCCGAACACCTCAAACTTCGATTTGTCTGTCCATAACACTTTTTTCCCCATCTTCCTCTGTCCAGTTGTCTGTCCTTTTTGCCCATCTTAACCTTTTTTCTTTTTATGGCCAGTCTGAGATATGGCTTTTTCTTTGCAACTCTGCCTAGAAGGTCAGCATCCCGGAGTCGCCTCTTCACTGTTGATGTTGAGACTGGTGTTTTGAGGGTACTATTTAATGAAGCTTGCCAGTTGAGGACCTGGTGAGGCGTCTGTTTCTCAAACTAGACAAACTAATGTATTTGTCCTCTTGCTCAGTTGGGCACCGGGGCCTCCCACTCCTCTTTATATTCTGGTTAGAGCCAGTTTGAGCTGTTCGGTGAAGGGAGTAGTACACAGCGTTGTACGAGATCTTCAGTTTCTTGGCAATTTCTTGCATAGAATAGCCTTCATTTCTCAGAACAAGAATAGACTGACGAGTTTCAGAAGAAAGTTATTTGTTTCTGGCCATTTTGAGCCTGTAATCGAACCCACAATTGCTGATGCTCCAGATATTCAACTAGTCTCACGTTTATTGCTTCTTTAATCAGCACAACAGTTTTCAGCTGTGCTAACATAATTGCAAAAGGGTTTTCTAATGATCAATTAGCCTTTTTTAAATGATACACTTAGATTAGCAAACACAATGTACCATTGGAACACCGGACTGATAGTTGCTGATAATGGGCCTCTGTACGCCTGTTTCAGCCGTTTCCAGGTACAATAGCAATTGACAACATTAACAATGTCTACGCTGTATTTCTGATCAATTTGATGTTATTTTAATGGACAAAAAATTGCTTTTATTTCGAAAACAAGGACATTTCTAAGTGACCCTAAACTTTTGAACGGTAGTATTCATTCATTCATTCATTCATTCATTCATTCATTCATTCATTCATTCATTAAAATACAAAAACACAGTTTGGTTGTGTTCATTTATGATGTGTGTGTGTGTGTGTGTGTATATATGTATATACAGGGCGCATTTGTAAAAGCGACCTGGGTCTCAATATCTTTTTTTTTTAAATGGCCTTGGCTTTCAGATAGTTATTATTGGCCAACAGTGAGTATATGTCATCCCTGTTCATCATGTTAAGTTTGTACAATGCACATTTTTATCTTCCTTTAATTTTATTTTTTTATATTATCTAATATTCCTAACATTGTTATGTACATATTGTAACAAAGTGGTAACTATGCCAACATTGGATTAGCACAGGCTTTTAAAGAACACTTGTGCAAGCCTCATTAAAGCTACACAATAGTCAGTGTTCAACCATACCATGTGATAACAATACAACAGAACAAATCAACTGGAATGATATTTACTCTCACGGGTAGCCAAAAATAACTATGAAAGCCACACCTTTGTTAAGCCACACCTCCAGTCATCTGATCTGACCCACTGGGTCATATCTCAATAAGCCAGCATCAACAACCAAACCTTGCCCTTTTTAAAGTAAGCAACCCAACTAAGTGACCCAGTGCCTGCAACCCAGCAGTTGGGTCATCCAAACAACCCAGCATTTTTTAGAGTATGGTGTGGCTGCCTTTAAAAAGGATGCCATACACTCTAAAAAATGCTGTGTTGTTTGGTTGACTCAACTGCTGGGTTGCAGGCGTTCGGTCACTTAGTTGGGTTGTTTTTCTTTAAAAACTGTGGGGTTATTGATGCTGGGTTATTCAGATATGAAGACTAGAGGTGTGTCTTAGTAGGGGCATGGCTTTCAGAGTTATTTTGGGCCACCCTTGAGAGTAAATGTAATTCCGGTTCATCTGTTCTGTTGTAGCGTTAATACATGTTAAGGTTGAAAACTGACTTTTGAAGCTTTAATGAGGCTTACACAAGTTTATGAGTTTCTCAAGAGCCAATGCATATCCCAATATTGGGATTACATAAAAAATACCCAGCTGCTGGGTCAACCAAAAAAAACAACTGATGGTTAAATTAACCCATGTTTGGGTACTCCAAACAACCCAACATGTTGCGTTATTCACACAACTCAACTGGCTGGGTCAAAATAACCCAGCGTGTGTTCTGTCCAATACTTACTCAGCACGGGGTTACCAAATAAGCTAATTTGGGGTTCAGGAGTGAATGAATATCACAATATTAATATTTTAAAGAAGGATACTAGAGAGTTAGCAAAACATACACATCACAAGCTTATTCCAGCAACTGTAACACAGCTGATTGTGTGCTCTGTAATAAACTAGTTAAGTGTGACAACAATTTGCTTAATCTTATAACGTATAACCAAGTAGAAGATGATCGAGAGCAGATTGCTGGATCTGTAACCCAATATGAGACAAATGCAGTGACCAACTGCCTTATTTTTGCATACAAAACCCATACAATTAATAAAACATGCACATTATATGAACACAATGCCTCATCTGCTGTGTAATAGTTTATCTGCATAAATGATCTGAAATGTGAAAAATGCAGATGCAGCCAATTTAGCTATGACCGTGGTAAGCAGATGGTCCCTTTTTGTAATACATTGTGGTTGGCAAGCAAGATAATCTCCACTTCAAACTATGCAACATTGGATAAAGTGAGTGATTCTAGTCTGTAATCTGTATTCATGAGAGCAATGGGAGGACATGACCAAAAACTAATTAACACTAGAACCACAAGACGGTCAATCTGACAGTTTAACATTTTGTAATTTTAATAACTTTATTTCAATAAAAATCTTGAACCCACCTGTCCCTGACTTCTCCTAAATAACTATATATATATATATATATATATATATATATATATATATATATATATATATACACACACAA